TCAGGGAATGCAGCATCTCAGTCTCTATAAAATTCTATTAATCTAAATTCAAAACAGCAGAAAATAAATTTTTTATTGACTGCATTCTGTGACTCAGTAAAAGGAGCTTTTGTCTCATCCATGTTTTAATTATGAATTATGTTCATGGGAATAAGCATGCAGTTTAAACGAAGAAAAAAACTTATATTAAGCAGCTTTCAGAAAGGTCTAATAAATGCGTGTATTATCAAAGTATATTTTGATGAACATAGTATTGGCTAAAACACATGTTATTTTTCGAAAATAGCAAAATTGCCTTACTTAATTAATCGCTTTCAAAAAGGTGTCTTAGCAATATTGTTTATGATTAAATGAGGCCTGTTTTTATGAAGTTTCGTAAAAGAAAAAGTGTTGTGTTTTTTTATTTATCGTTTATATCACTCGTTGTGAAAAATTTTAACTACAAAAAAAATTCAAATATTGTTTAAGAAGGTAGCTTTTGTTCTAGTAAATCGCAAAAGTGCTTCTTTCCCCATTAATCTCGATTTTCACCAAATATTCAGAAATTCTACTGAAAGAACATTCAATAGCGACTCGAATTCCAACTAACAATTTTTCTGCGCATACCTTCATAACTTGCGAGAAGCAGCAAGGCAGTAAAAGAATGAATGCAACAAAAGCTCCATTTACTAAGCCACAGAATACAACCGATTAAAAAACTTTTTTTCTGCTGTTTTAAATTTCGATTAATAAACTTTTATAAAGATTGAAATGCTGCATTCCCAGAGAGGAAACTTACGATCATTCATTTCTTCTTATCTGAAACATTTCGAAAAGAATAAATGTCAAAACACTTTTGGCACATCTGGTATTCAACACTAAAAACAGAATAATTTTCAATAAAGTCAGTTCGGGAAGAAAAAGCTTAGCTTAAGTGATTCACTCAAACTCGCGATTACGTTCAGTTCCGTTAGAGAAACTGAAAACCTAACTTTCATTTATTTTTTTTTGAATGACTGAGTAACATGAAAATTAAATTAAACAGTCTAGTTCTGTTCAGCTGATCTTCGGATAGTAATTTCGAGGCTTGTCAGTATGATTGATGCAAAACTCTGATTGATACTTTGCCGCGTTTTTCTTCGTCTTAGTCGTCAATGTTTGTTGATGAAACTAAAAATCATCAAACATACAGTAAAATTTCATTGATTCAAGACAGACTTTTTCTACTACTTCAATTATTTACATAAGACGAAAGAAACCAGACTGTCATGTTTTCATTTCACCAATCAGTATGAATAGCAGAACTGTATAGTAACCATGTAAATGAATGCACGCCTATCAACAAACTCACATTCACGCCATGCAGCAAAAATAATTCTTTGAATTGTAGGGTTCGTATAATAATGTATTTTTTCAGCTACAAAAAGATTCAACTTTTAAGTATCACATGTATGTGGAAAACCAAATTTAATCCTTAAAAACAAAGAGTTATTCTAGAATTAGAAGTCAAAATCATTGTTGAATCTGAACACATTAGTTTTCTGTTATCGATTAATCATGTTTCGACATTAAAGTAATTCTAGAATCCCATTGTCACATTCACATTGATCCTCGGTAATATATTTTCCTGGAAAAAAATTGAAACATCGAATTGAGGGTGTGGGTGTAGATGTAAATGTGTGCGATCTGGCTGTAGGTAAGCGTTGAAAGAAGACTGATACCTAGACTCACAGTCAGTGCGACAGCCACAAACGCACATACCGACACCCACCCACATCCACACCAGAGTTGCCGCCTCTTCTGCTTTTAGCAGAAAAATTCTGCTTTTTTTCTGTCATTTCTGCTTTTTGAAGATTTTTCTGCTTTTTTCTAATACTGCATAATTTATAATTTTAATGAACACTTTTCATCTCGAAGATCTTCATTTCCATAAATAGATAACAACTGTATCAAAAGCTACTGATGTTTGTGTTCTATTCTAATTCTTTCTATTTTATACAAATGACTTTTATTTTCTACTGACCACAAACAGCTCACAATGAATATTTTTGCTTCTTAATCAATTTCTTACCTAGTTTTCTATCGTATTTTTTATTATTCATTTAATTTATATACATCAACATATACATTCTCTTGTTTATTCATCGGATGAAACAGGAAGAATTAATATGATTTCTGAGGACAAAAGAACAGAAAAAAAAAGTTCTAGATGATAATGACAGCAAGACTAACAAAGAAGGTATTTACAAAGTAGTTGTAGTTGCTGAACAGACAAATATGCCATAAAGAGTTAAATCAGAAAAAAAAAGAAACCCTATAGAAGCGTCTTAAACAGAGAATGGCTATTAATGATTTTTAAAAGAATATAAAATAAGTCCATCTCAGTCAACATTAATTGTTGGTTATCAATATTTTTCCGAACATCACAATAAAAAGCTAACACTGATAATCTTATGAACATTCAGAAGCATAAAAAGTTATGAAATCTTATGATTTAAGCAACGATTAGCTTGAATCTCTCCTCTTCCTATATTAAAATGGATACATACTAATTAGGCAAGCAAAATTTATCGAAAATTCTTAAATCAGATGAAGAATGCACTTTAAAAAAAGAAAACATGTTCAAAGATTCTGTTTATTTGTTAGTTGGTTATCTTTCATGATGTTACGCAGTGAATACCAAAATTCGATGTGAAAATTGTTAATCAGTACAGTAAAACAAAAATTTAAAACCAGTTTCATATCATAAACGTAGTTTCTGCTTTTTTTCTGTTTTTTGATGATAAAATTTCTGTTATTTTCTGCTTTTCTTAAACTGTTTTCTGCTTTTCAGATTTCAAAAGGCGGCAACACTGCTCCCAGTGAACTGCCTTAAAAATCTCTAGAGACTCCCTGGGGATTCGTTAGGAGATTCTCGACTAGGATTTGTTGCAGAATTCTGATCCTCGATAGTTCAATGAAGAACCATATAAAAAACAATTCTTGGAATTATCGTGTGCTTGGGTCATATTAATGTTGAATTTATTCAAAGACAGTTAATGTATTTTTATGTATGAAATGTAAAAGAGGGATGATAAAAAAGAAAAGATATATCTCTTGCGTTCTGTCGTAAAATTTGTTTTTTTCTGTTTTCATTCATTTATAGGCAATATATAATAAAGACCAACTGTTTGTCCAATACCATAATCATCAATCTAAAGATGTTCGATAAATAATATATCATATTGTAATGATATTGATAATGCATTTATCTTATTTTAAAGCTGTTTTTCGTACCAAATAACATTCATTTGTATGAATTATCAAAACATTAAATTGTGTTAACCGTAGATAAGAGCTAGGATTACCACCATATGTTTGCAAGAATGATAAAGTAACAGCTTTGGTCAAAATTGGTTTTACACAAGATAATAAATTAGATTCACATGCCAGTTGATATTCAAAACAATAAAAACACAACAATTAAAAGTGATTAGCTGTGAGCAAGTGCATGAGTGAGTGACTAGCATTTTTTCCACCTCTATTATGATGTTTATTGAATATTGTTTTTAATTACAGACGTATCAAATACACTAGGTGGTATTCGACTTTTGCTCGAAGGCGACATGCGATGCGAAGCACAAATTCGAATTTTGAAAAAGTCGTATTTCGCATAGAAAATAAAGAATCATTCTTCGGATATGTAATAATTCGTGTTTCTCTTAAGAATAGTTATGCTTATTGAGATCTAGTGTTCTCTTACCGCTTTTAAATCTGAAAACTAAGGTTTCTATCAATCAGCTGATCTAACTCAGAGTTTGTGCCGATATAAGCGCTCGCTCTATCTTAATTAATGTACATAACGACTCTTTTCTCTTTACACACTGATAATATCTATTATGTGTTCAAATTCATCTATCCTGTGTGACATGTGTCTCTCTTCCTCTTTGTCGTGTTATGTTTGTGTTGCATTGTGGTATTTTTATCATAGCTTTCCGTGGTATAATGTAGCACATATCGTTTACCATCGGAATTTGAACACATAATAGATATTATCAGTGTGTATAGAGAAAAGAGTCGTTATGTACATTAATTAAGATAGAGCGAGTGCTTATATCGGCACAGACATAAATCAGCAAAATGTGACGCAAATATAAAGTACGGAATTGTAATATTATACTACTTGTTCTTGATTTAGGTGTCATCTTCTCTCCTTTTCTATACAGATTGTATCACTACTCTTTCTCTCTTTCCTTTTTTTCCTTTTCCTCTTTTCTCTGTTTTTCTCTTAACTCCTGTACTGTATGAATCAAGAAACTGGTCGTCAATTATTAGCAAAATAATATAAAAATAAGTTGCTAAAGAGATACGAAGGGCTAAAATATAAAAAGTTATTTAATGTTAATACGAGTGTCAAATGATGCTCTTGTTGTGATAAGTTGTTAAAAGAAGTACTCAAAATGTGGACTACCATTGGTGCATTCAAAAGCAATAGAGACTTGATAAGAATTTCTGTGAAAGTGAATATCCTTTCTTGAAGAATTTCATTGAGTTTTTTCGCTTTAGAAAACATTACTCTTAACGTGATTCTATATGCTTTTTAATAAAATATATTGTCACATTTACTATTGTGTAAGAAATTTTTCATCATTCAAAATATTGTCTTTTAATAAGCTATTACCTATATTTCACGATAAAAAAATTATAAAGAGAATATATGAAAGAATGTCAATTTGTGCTACATCAACATTATTGATGCATATGTTCTCCACGTTCTTGCTATGTTTTAATAGCAAATGTTTTTTCTTTCTTTCTTTCTTCGTCTATACTTGCTTGTCATCGTTTTCTATATAACTGTCTTCATTCTTTATCTTATTTATCATTATTTGTTTAGATATTAAGACAATGTCTTCTGCTGAAATCAACATTTTTTTAACTGATACTACTGGTTATGTTGGTGGAAGTATTTTAACTTCACTTCTTCAACATTCAAATGCTTCAAACTTTCATATTACTGCTCTGACTCGTCGCGATAATGAACAAGTTAACAAATTAGTATCAATCAATGTTATGCTTCTTATTGGTTCAAATAATTCTTTCGATCATCAAAAAAGGGTGTGGGTGTGGTGAAGATAAAGCACACTCACACTCACACCCATATCGTCATTACAAAGTATATTGGAAAAAGTGAAAATTGAAGAAAAAATGAGAAATGATCCAGAATTGATTTTGATTTTGCAAGCCTTATCTGAAACAAACGGGTAATGAGATAATCCAAGCTCATCAAGTACCCAAACAACTATCCTTTCTGGATGTTCTTATTACAAGAGACGAAAAATCATTTAATACCACGGTTTATCGAAAAAACACTTTCTCAGGTCTTTTGATCAAATGAACCTCTTATGTTCCACTCAGTTATAAGGTATCTGCTATTAGTAATATGGTGTACAGAGCTAGCAAAATTTGCTCGACATATGAATTCATGCATGAGGAATTTGAATTTATCCGAAAAATAGCCGCGGAAAACGGGTACTAAATTGATTTTGTCGAAGGGTAAATTAGAGATACGTTAAATAGACCCGTAAGCAGAGATGGTGACGGTCTATCAATGATATTAAAGAAGAAAAAAAAAGAATCAGTTGAATAAAACAAAATTTGTTATGATCAATGTACCTTTTATTGATACATCCACTAAACCTTTTATCAGATGCTTGCAACAATCTGCAAAGAAAGAGAAATCTCATATTCAAGGTTTAGTAGTTCCTAAACCACTTCCTACGGTTGGACAAGGTTTCAACAACAAAGACAGTATATCGAAGAATATGCAATCTGGAATCGTTTATTATCTCACATGTAATAATTGTCCTTCTCAGTATATAGGACAAACCACTAAAGAAGCAATTAGACGGATGATTGAACACAGTTATTGTGAATCATCACCCAATATTAAGACAAAGTCTATAGTAGCATCTCAAACAGGTTCAACTGATATATCGCCACTTAGAAGATCTGATCGTTTAAAAGAAAGAAGAATTAAGATCGGAACAATATCAGATAATCAGTTCAATAATGTTTCTCAATGTGGAGAGAGGGAGACCGTTAATACGAATTCGTATAAACGTTCCGATTGAAAATCTGCTTTAGCAAGACATACAGTAGAGTTTAACCATCAAATTAATTACACGGATTGGAAGATCTTGTTCAAAGATAGTTCTTCTCAACGATTGAAAGTTAAGGAATCATTGGCTATTACGTATGGCTTTGAAACCCAATCTCAATGCAACTACTCGTTCCACCCCATTAATCATCTTTCCAGAAGGGGTGATGAATAAAAAGAAGGTCAATTTCAAATTCAAACAGAATAGAGAAGATTCTTCTAGATCATACGATTCATCAGGGTTTTAGGTACAAACATATAATATATATAATTATATGTATACATGCACGTTACACTGTTCTTTCCTTTGATTCTGTCTATAAATGTTTTACAAGTTCTCTTGAAAATGATGATTAAATTCATCGAAAGCTCGAAATATCTTCAATAGTATGCTATAGTTATTGTAATCGCTAGTTTAATTTATCAATAAAAAAGTTCTTAGCTGCTGTGAAATCAGTTCTTTAGGAACATTTTCATCGGGATTTTACGAAATAAGTTTTTAGAGCGGCACTGACAGTTTTAATAAAAATTCAACGCATGAAAACAATAAGTCTTGAGTTAAAAATAAGTTTGGTGACTAACTCAGCTAATTTTGCAGCTTTTGATGGAAGAAAATCTTAAAGGGAATTATGTAGAACATATGAATATCCGTGTGCAATGACTGGCAGTAATAACGATCAAGTAACCACGACCATGTTTATACCATTATTCACTTCAAGTGCAGCGAAAGAGTGTAGATATGGATGTGAGTGTAAGTGAAGAGAAAACTCACATCCACGTACACTTTTTAAAATCGTGCATTTGAATTATAAATTTCAGTCGAAAATTCAAAGAAGTTTACAACCCATGAAGAATTTACAAATTTCTACACTACTGGGGTTGGGATGAGATTCGATAGGAGAAAACTGATTGTTGAAACCCTTGTTACCGTGAGATGGATAAGTTAGTCCCTTTGAGGTCCCCGTTAATATTCAGACCATCCAGATAGGTCCGAAAAGCTCGCTCAGGAACTATCTTCGAGTCCGTAACACACAATCGCTCATTATCAGACTCATATGCATATCAGATGTGTAGATGAGTCTGCCCCATATGTACATGGCATTCGTGCCACCACAGCTATACCAAGGTGCTTTTTGGTCGCGCACGCGAATAGAATAGAAATGAAATTTATTTTCTCCTTCGAATAGCTGTTTCTTTTTCATGCACCGTGATTTATTCAAGAGAAAGGACTAAAAATTAGCCACTGCAATAAGTCTATTCAATAGAAAATCGTTGAACTCGATTATTCCAATAATCGACAACATAGAGATGGCCACATTGATCGAAGGATAAACCATCAGGACGGCTCAACTGATTTGCTTGTTCTCCTTCACTGTTTTCACCTGCAATGACAGTACCTTGTTTCGCTCCTTCAGGCCAACGTATCACTCGATAATTTCCTGAGTCAGCAACATAGACGGTACCCAACGTATCGACGAGTATTCCATCAGGACACCACAAGTGGGTTAGGGCCTTTCCAGAGCCTCGACCACCAGCAACGATAATTCCTTCTGTTGCACCTTTGTTCCATTTCATCACACGATGATTTCGATAGTCCGACACGTAAACAGCCTGTTGTCGATCAACAAAGAGATAGGTTGGGGAGTTGAGTTGATTGAGACCATCCCCGTGTCCATTGCCACCAGCCACGATAGTTCCATTCTTGTCTCCTATTTTGTATCGTCTTACTTCATGTTTCTCCTCGTCAGAGATGTAGAGATATCTCTGGTCGTCCATGGCTAATCCCCGACAACGAATATTGTCGAGAAGAATTACTCCTTGGGTTGTACCGCTACGACGAGACCATAATAGAACTCGTCGATTACCTCGATCACAAATAATGAGACTATCAGTCTCTTCGTCAATCAACACATCGCTTGGACCATCCAATTGATCCAATTGACATCCTTGACCATGGCCACCAGCTAATATTTGCCCATTCGTATCACCCATCTTCCACTGGATGATACGATGATTTCCCCAGTCAGCGATGACCATCGTTTGATCATCACTAACGAAGAGACCCCAAGGATAGTGAAGTTGATTAATGGCATCGCCATGCCCCTGACCTGCAGCAACAGTTACTCCGTTCTTTGCCCATCGGGCATTGACTGGAATATTGGGAGTCACTACAATGGACGAAAAAGTAAAGAGGCCATCATCATTATCGTTGTCGAAGAAAAGATCCTCCTCTCTCGCAAGAGCAAGAACTACAAGTGAAACATTCGTCTTCAAAGGAAAATCTGTGAAACGTTCGAAAAGTTTCTTCTCGCAGATAAAAATTCAGCAACTTTTCCTAACTTCGAATTAAAAAAAATGATTTCATTACAGTGCTTACATTTATGTCACTTCCACTAATCTCAATTCTGTTCATTCTTTGAGAAACTCGAGTAAGATCTACGACTATCTTTTTGAGAAGGGGAGGAGGTAGCTTGTTTGAGCTCTGGTCATGGTCTGTACAATCTTAAAAATAGAATCTTCTCGGTGGATCTAATCTACACATGGCGATTGATGTAAGAAGGTTTTTCGAGAAAGATCAATGCTAATTCGATGAAAGCTTTCGATAGAATAACATAGGGATTTGAAGATTTCATTCGAAAATGTGGGAATGCAAAACCTTTGGAGGATTATCAGGAAAGCATACTAGGAAGTTTCAATATTTTGAGAGGTTGTATGAATACAGGACAAGGACTTAAATAATAAAATAAGGAACTTTGCCAGACTCTTAAACTGAAAAAACCTTGAGGCGATTTTATCTGCATCTTGTTAGAAGCGTGTTGAGTACTTGGACAACAAATGTCAAATATTATCCCTATGCTTTTTTAGGAATCTTAAGAGTTCAGTATGCATTTATTAGATGCTTTTCGCGTCATATGATAAAGTTTTTCATCACGTGATTTTCTGGGTTATGAATGCAAATCTGCCCAAGTTTCTTCTTAACATTCCCATAGTGCATGTAGGCAAGATTTTATTAGGCTTTTGATAAGTTATGCCATGCTCTTCGAAGGGTAATTCGGGTAAGATCTTAGCAAGGTTATAAAAACATTTGTATGTATTGCAAATTGAGAGTGTGTGGTCGTGCCTGTACTGGGTAAATGGGGCCAGTCTAGATATTTTGCGATTCATAGTGGTATCACTTTGATTAGTACCGATCTTTCTGGAGTAGCCAGTATACCCGTTCAACTGGCCGACCGCTAAACAGCGGTGTATGGGTATTTATCGTATATCTTCAGTAAGCCATTTACTTCAAAGAGATACACTTTGAAGGTGAACGGCAATCGAGTTCATTCATTTTCAGTGTTAAATAAGTGATGAAGACCGGACAATTATTTTCAGTCTGGATGTGGACGTAGTTGTAAGATGCTGATGTGGATGTGCTGCTATGCTTGCGATTGATTGACGAAGTGAAGAGAAGAACCATAGGGATACTGACACAACTACACTTATACTCGCACCTGCATCCACGCATACATTCATATCTACCCTCATGGATATATTTGATATGAGTATCGAATGGGCTTGTAAAGTGGCATATTATTTACAGAGAGTTGAACATTTATGGTGGGCGTGAGTGTAAATTTTGTCTTCAAGTCAACTCACTCACATCCCTCATCCATCGGCGTGTCCTATACCCACACTCAGATCAAAGTTTATGGAAAATTAGCACTACTATAATCTAGTTTTAACGCTATCTACATGCGTTAAGTGTGACTTCTTTTAACGTGACCACATCGTTTGTCAAATTTATTATCTCTACAACCGTTCTTACACATGCAGGCTCTTTAAATATTATGAACCATGTTACGGATTCTTTCTCTCATATTATTAAACTGAGTTATCAGCGAGATAGCAACGTGATGGTATGACAACAGAACGAAACAAAAGAATAATCTCCCTTCGCATGGAATCGAACCATGCACCTCCTGCTTACCGGGCAGACGTATTAACCACTTTACTAGAAAGGAGTATGTCTTATTCTGTTTGTTTCGTCTTATGAATGAAGGGGAACACTTCAGTTCATAACAAACCACATCATAGGATGATCGGTTGCTGTGATAAAACCGAAAATAGGGTCGCCTGCGCTTCGAAAGGAAGCCTGTGAAAAAGTAAATTCTCCAGCGAGAGGAACAGTCTGCATTCTTGCACTTTAAATTAGAATAATAAATTGAATTTTTACTTTTTATCTTAAGCAACCGAAATATGCTTCAAAATAAAAGTTATTTTTCACATTTTAAAAGATATTCTTCCTGATACATACTTTTGATGTAAAGTCAACGTTTGTTGAAGGTGTATGCCGTTGATATTAGCTTTCTCTTTTTATAGGTAAGTTTGGCTTTGACATTTTTGCGAGATAAAAATTTGTTTCTATTTGCTAAAAACATCATGAGATCAAGTTTCTTCTTTCTTGTGACTTTTATTAATGTTGTCACGATAAGAAAAGACTAATTATATCAAATACTGCGTGATTTGTTTTCAATCTATTTTCATTGCATAAGCAACCTAGCTCTTTGATAGTGCTCACTCTTCTCTTGTCATGGCAACGTTGATAGAAATCATGACACAGAAGAGAAGACTCACACATACAACCTCATCCCTATACCCCACACCCATCATCTAACCTTGATAGGACAGCTTCTTAAATCAAGGTTATCAGACAGTTTGTGTTGCATAAAAAAACAAGCACGAGCTCTTCGTGGAGGTTGATAGAACGTTTTTACCACTCATACTAAAACAAAATGGTACTTACATCTTGGATGACAGACCTTTTAGTGATTAAAATGTATATGGCTCGAAGCTTTACGGACTTATCCTGTTGGATGCTAACTCACACAAGTGTATTTTAGCGCAAACCTTTTGGCCGTTCTTTCACATATGTTGATATGGATGTGAGCGTTATGGTTGTCTGTTATAGGTGTATATGACTCAAGGCGTTAGATGATTCCTTGACGAAATGGTATGCCCCGCGAAGACTTTTAGGCTTTCCTTTCTCGCGTTGTTACCTGATACAAAAATTTGCATTTTTTTTTTAATTTTGCTGTTTATTGTTACGCTCGGAAGCGCTTACATAGGGAGAAAATTAAATGTTTGTATTACAGCATACAGGTATCTTAAGCACATGTGTAGCAATATAAGCTATTTGAGTGTGAATTACCATATACGAATTCGCATCATGTGAGAGGTAAATAATAATGAAAAAAGAAAAAAAAGATAAAGAAAATATGAAGCAGAGAGACCAGATGAGAACGAAAGGAGACAAAATGAAGGAAAAAGACAAATAAAGGAAGAAAAACAGAAAAACAGAAAAAGAAAAAAGAAAGAACGAAAAAGATTCTTGATAAACAGAAAGAAATGAAGCAGGAGCAAACAGAAAGGCACATCCATCTCACACGCGTGGATCTAGGTCACGAAATCAATCCATTTTAGTAATAAAGTCTCGTATCTCTCTTTCAAATTTTTAACTCGCCTCATTCGAAAAAAATGACCAAGATTATCCTCTTTACGCTTTTTGAAATCGTCCCAGTAAAATATATCATTAAAAAAGAGAGACCTTCCTAAATCAAATTTTTGCATTTGCTTTAATCTTTTTTCTACATATTTTTTAACGTAGAAATCTAAAGTGTTTTCTTTTATTATCATAAATAAATCATGCTCTGGTACAAATTGGCATCGATGTACAAGTCTCATCCCAACTTGAAATTTGCGCCTCAATGTTGCTTGGTGAGTTTTTGGTAGAAATGGAAAAAGAGGAAACAGCCAAGCAAAATATGGAAAGCTATAGGCAAAAAAACAAGTTCGTCACACAGCTGTTGATAATGCATTACACACTCTTAGCCATTTTAATTTTGTAAGGGACTTTTGAATGTTATCTACGCATCTGCTAATGGTTGGTTTTAAGGACAACTTACTAGTCCAAGTAAAACCTAGATATTTAAATGATTTCACAATTTCAATCTTATGTCCATCCATTGTAATGTTTATCTGTGGTATGGTAACTTGCGAAAAGAAGATTTGTGCTACTGTTTTACTAACATTTATTGGTTGTTTCCATTTCCTCGAGTACGCTGAAATCTGATTACACACTTTCATTCCTTCCTTTTCTAAATACTCAATCATGCTTGAGAAATTTTTCGATATCGGAGGTCGAATAAGAACGTTAAGATCGTCCGCAAAAACATGTGCAGAATGTACTCCAAAGCAAGAGATTAGATCACTATAAAAGACAATAAAAAGATAGGGGCTTAAGCGACTGCCTTGTGCGAGTCCTGAAAAAATTTGAAATTTATCTGAGCTCTGTTCACCAAATACTACGTACGCTCGTCTATCTTTTAGCCACGAAGCAACAATTTTAAGCAGACCGAGAGGCATACCTAAACGGTATAGTTTAATCAAAATGGCCGCATGCCAAACTTTGTCATATGCTTTTTGATAGTTCACATATATGGCTAGTGTTGGTACATTAGCTGCCATATTGTTGCTCACTTTCTGATAGATAGAAAGAACTCTCGTTGGAAGAAGACAACCAGGACGAAATTCAGACTGTTCTGATGGTACTAGTTGATTAGTTTCTGCCCAATGTCTTATTCTTTCCAGGATCACTTTTTCAAAGAGTTTAGAATGCGTAGCAAGAAGCGATATAGGTCTTGTTTGATCACACCGTGAAACACCTGCTTTCAACTTATTTAGTGTAACTATTTTTGCTAGTTTCCACTCCTCTGGGTAGGGATGTTCTTGGAGTCATACATTAAAACAGTTTGTCAAGCATGTGCTGTAACTCGGTGGCAACAGTTTGATTATATGATTCGAAATTTGATCAAAATCTGATGATTTTTTTTATTTAAGCTTTTTTATATGTTTTGTGCTCTCAAAAGTATTGGTTTTTTCTATTCGTTCCTCCGAGGTTTTTAATTCGTTTAATAATATTCTATATTGTTCTTCAATTTTCGCATAATTTAGATCCACTTTATTTGTTTCTGTCATTCTGAATTGATTTGCATAGTAAGAATAAAGCTCATCGACTATTTCCTTTTTTCCTGTTATTATCGATTCATCGCTGGCTAGTTTCGAGAATGGTTAACTTTGTGACTTATAAACGCGAGATAGATGAGACCAGAAGGCTTTTTCTGGTCGGTCGAATTTTTCTTGGATTGTTGACAAGAAGGACTGCCATCTGCTCGATTTCTATTTAGCGATTTCTATTTTTGTTTCGCGAGCCATTACTCTCAATAAAACACGAGTCTCTTCATTCTGACAGCCATTTTTTCTCTCTCTATAATAATTGTTTCTTATGCTTCTGACTTTTTTCAGCTTATCTATGATGTCAGGTGGTAGTGAAGGTCGGTATTTTTCTTTCTCTTTCCAGATGGTTATTCTGTTGTTTATTGCTGCAAGGAATCGAGTGTAATTTCTATACCATTCATCCACTGACGTAATATTTTGTTCTCTTATCCAGAAATGTTGTAGAAGCGCCAGCATACCTTCAAATACCTTCCATCGAACATGAGGAAAAAAATTTCTTATTTCAAAACCTATGTTTTCACATGTCAACACAATGGGCCAGTTATCACTAGTACTAAAGGATATAGTTTCTGCACTTATTCCATCTATATTCGAAAAAGTAAGATCGATATTGCGTAGAGAACGTTTTGATGAGTGTGAAGAAGAAGGAATGTATGTAAGATTGTTCTCTTCTATCTATTCTTTCAAAATTCTTCCACGTTTATCCGAAGATGGACTGTTCCATTCTTCTAATGACGTATTAAAATCCCCTATAATGATTGTTCCTTGTATTATGAAAGTACGTAAATCATCGAGGTTACGCTTTTGGCCTTGAGGCCAGTATATTCCAACGATTCGAATGGGATCAGAGAGACCAGAAACATCTACAATCACAGTGTTTTCGATTTCTACATCAACTTGAGTAGCTTTTAAATGTTTTCCAACTGCGATGCTCACCCCACCACAGCGGTTTGTACCTTGTTGGTGAAAGGTGTTAAAATTAGGCAGAGAAAAACTATTCCATAGTTCACCAACTTCAGTTAAAATACTAATTGATGCATCAACTTTATAAACTAGATTCACTACTTCTAAGTGTCTAAACCCCCAACCTTCAACGTTATAGCATAGAATGTTTAGAGGTGTCATTTGGGATGGGAGACACTGATTATGATTATTATGTGCTTCCCAACTTTGTAAAACTGTATCCAATGTACTACTAGAATATCACTCATCAATGAGGTAAAGTGTAAGTTTGTTATCTTTTTCAGAGAGACCCCACTGCTTTAGTTGTGCCCATGCAAGTGCCTTTCTATCTGAGTCATTAGTAAAAATAGATGAAGGACAAAAACTCTTAGCTGTAGGTTGAAGATTCGGTCTCATGATCCATGAACATTCATATTATTGATAGCAGATAATATGACAATGTCGTTACTTGGTGTAGAAATTCCTTGTGTGTCTGTAATTCTCTTGATCGTATCCATATTCATACCAGCATTCAATTCTTCAAGAATCTTTATAAAAGGTGGATATTTACCCTTGGGTTGAATCTTTGCTAAATCACATAATGGAAAAATAATATTATCCATACCATCCTTGATGGAACGTAGCATATTCTTCAGTCTTTTGTAACAAATCCGAAACTTGTGCATCATAGTTAAGACGTAAACTTATCTCTTCGAGTTTCTTTTCCATTCGTAGCAGTGTTGCCACCTTTTGAAGTCTGAAAAGCAGGAAACAGTTTAAGAAAAGCAGAAAATAACAGAAATTTTATCATCAAAAAACAGAAAAAAGGCAGAAACCATGTTTATGATATGAAACTGGTTTTAAATTTTTGTTTTACTGTACTGATTAACAATTTTCACATCGAATTTTGGTATTCACTGCGTGACATCATGAAAGATAACCAACTAACAAATAAACAGAATCTTTGAACATGTTTTCTTTTTTTAAAGTGCATTCTTCATCTGATTTAAGAATTTTCGATAAATTTTGCTTGCCTAATTAGTATGTATCCATTTTAGTATATGAAGAGGAAAGATTCAAGCTAATCGTTGCTTAAATCATAAGATTTCATAACTTTTTATGCTTCTGAGTGTTGAGAAGATTATCAATGTTAGCTTTTTATTGTGATGTTCGGAAAAATATTGATAACCAACAATTAATGTTGACTGAGATGGACTTATTTTATATTCTTTTAAAAATCA